AGTCTGTCGCTGTCGTTGTGTCCTTGGGCAAGACACTTAACCCACGTTGCCTGCTGGTGGTGGTCGGAGGGACCGGTGGCTCCAGTGCTCGACAGCCTCGCCTCTGTCAGTGCGCCCCAGGGCAGCTGTGGCTACATTGTAGCTCATCCCACCAGTGTGTGAATGTGTGTGTGAATGGGTGAATGACTGATTGTGTTGTAAAGCGCCTTGGGGGGTTTCAAGAACTCTAGCAGGCACTATATCAAATACAGGCCATTTACCATTAAACCACAACATTGAGCAACACATGTATGAAGATTATTTACAATTATTTAGTTTCACACAAGCTCCTCCAGAGAAAGAAGGGGAATGAGACAAACAACATTCCTGTATTTTATACATTTAAAAAGAGCTGAAGGCTGATGAACTGATGCTCTAACTAAATTGTCACACACTAACCTTTAGGCGCAAAATGCAAACCCACATCCTAGTTTGATTCCGAAGTCTTCCCACAGGTCCCGATCCAGAAATTGTGGCGAGGGGGAGACAGCTACTTTGTTCTTAATTAGTTCAAGAGATCTGCATGAAATCTTGAACTGTTTAACCACATTTAGTCACTGACCCGTACCCCGAGGACATGAAACACACCACCGACTGTTTTCTTCTCACTGAATTTAAGCCCAAAAACAGGTCTTGTGTTCCATCTTTATCTTACTTCAATCTGCATCACATCACAGGAAGAAAATAACCGAATAAATGACATTTATTGAGGAATAAATGTCATTAATGGTGATAATAAAAACCAGAATGAAAACTTTGTGTGAACTTTTTAGTTCGCTAAAATATCTCTGAGCCTCATTATTCTGAGGATTTTTTAAACACATATTTGGTATAAATCTTTACAGGCATTTATAAATGACTTGATTTTATGCTCATTAAAGGATCCCAAACCTGCACACAATCCTTCCATCTCCCAGTAAAAAGAACCATCAGTCACATCTGCTGCAGCCGTTTGTTAGTCACGGTGACTTTCCGCTTGTTTTTTTTTTTTTTGTCCTCAGTTTTTATTCCACTTCTTATTCTGGCTCTGCAGCTGTCCTGCTGCTTTTATTTTCTTAGAGGTTATTCAGGATTTCAGAATGTGAGAAAATAAGGTTCAAAACTAACTTTATTAAAATAACCAAATAAAATACATGTTTGGATTACCGCCACTATAAAAATAATTTAGCTTCATTAGAGCTGGTTTAATCATCATATCTATGGTTTTATTCACCCACAGAATCAGTCAGAGTGGTTTGATAGTTGAAGCATTTAGACTAACACGTGGAAGCTGTAATAGGTTTTTTTGTACCGCTATAAAGCTTTTTGCCCTCAAGCCGGATCCTTTTAGGCCGTTTTCAATGAAGAACTGTTATTAATAAAGCTGAACATTATACGTGAATCACTTTTGATTAGAATTGATATTTAAAGATCGGAGAACTTTTAACGAGCTTTGTTTAAATTGCTTAAAAATTCTGATATGTGGGAATTATTCAAGTGGTCAAACATTCATGTGACACTTAACCTCATGTGTGAATTTCCAGAAATAACAGAATAAAAGCAGATGGCTAGAAGCTGAGTTTTCTTAGCCGTCTGTTTATTTGTGGTTAATTCTAACCACAGGGACAGCAGCTAGCTTTAGCACCTCCAGTTCAGCCTGCACTTCCTGTCTCCTGGAATAGCTAAATTAATTGTGTTCAAGTTAAAAAACTTGTGTTTACATGGATTACTATGAAGCCCTTTACGATTTTAAAACAACAGCAATCCTAGCCATAGCATATCAGTCCAGCCAGAATCAAAGTGGGGCTGTTTTAAAGCGCTAGAACAGATTTATCACTAAAATATACCTCAAAAGATCTCGTGGATATTGTCTGGAGGCAGTGGGTGATAGTCACGTCTTGTCGGCCATTAGTGATTGGTTTGCAGTAGGGTGAGTCATTAGTGTGTATTAGTGTGTGTTTGTATCAAAATGCTTCTGCATCAGTTTGACAACGATGCATCCACAGTTCATGTCCGTGCATCGTTGCATGTTGTAGCCACTTGGGGGCAGTCTCAGGAAAATTTAGAACCATCAGGTGTTTGTCTTCTTTTTGGTCTTAGTTTGATGTCCCTCCGTTACGACGATGTTCATTCTAATCAGAAATACTGAGCAGGAAATGATCTGTATAAATACTAAATGTGCAGACCTTTAGGTTACTCGGATACTACAGAAGCAACATTCAGGTTGTTCTTGTACTTCGGAGATGAGGCTAGCTTGGTGAGACACGAAACTTCATGTTGCTTCTGCTGCATTTATTTAGAAAATAAAAATGTTTTAAAAATGTTGAAGTTTGATTATTGATGGATAGACGTATGCTCAGTTTACGTAACGTTGTTACCCTAAAACTCAGATTACACTCCGGGTGTCAGATTTAGGCTCATGGATGTTAAGATTTTATGTTTCTGTTGTAAAAAGATGAAAAGACCACATCTGATCCTGCTGACCTCAAGTGTGTGTGTGTGTGTCTTTATTAGTTTAAGTGGATACATTTTGACTTTAGCCTGTAACATATGGACATTTCCACATTGTGGGGACATTTTGCTGGCCCACACAGTGCTAAGCACCCTAATACTTGGTTTTAGAAGTATGGTGTGAATTGGTGTTTAGTTTAGATTAGTTTAGGTTAGGGTTATGCACGCTGGAGTCACAAAAATTAATGGAAGTCAACGGAGGTTCACACAGGCATTTAAATACAAGTATGTGTGTGTGTGTGTGTGTGTGTGCCCCTACATTTCACTTCCTGTGTTCCCTAAGCCCTCTAAAGTCTAAACTAAACACTTCAGCTGTGAAAGGTCGTTCCAGGGTCAGAGGAAATTGAAAATGTGTTCACCCACCAACACATCATCATTCACGACGCTCATGGTCTCCAATTGGTCCGGCTGAGCTACGCGAGTGTGTGTGAGGTGTTAAAAGCTTAAATGGACATAGATGTGGAATGTAAAGATAGGCCGTCTGTGCTTATATAATAAAACCCAAACTGGTGCTGACCCGACTCACACACATAACAGTGTTAACGGACTAAGCAGCAGCAGATCTCCCGTTCCTGACCTGAAATATCTGAAACATTACACAAGAGGTCACGACCCCCCTGTGGAGAAGCAGAGGTCACCAATGTGTGTGTGTGTGTAGAGGACTTTAATCAGAGGTTAAAAATCAGACCTTCTCTCTTCCTCTACCCTCCTACCATCAGTTCCTCTGAAAACAGCAGATATGTGACAAATCATAATAGATTTGAACTCATGGATTTTAATTTATTCACAAGCTAAGTCAAATAATTTAGATTCTGTAGAGAATGGCAGATCTGCGGGACAGTTTGTTTTGGATCACTGATGCTTCTTTTACATCACTACTCAGCTTTATAAACAGCAGTCAGTGTTGGCGAACAGCTTAAAATGCTCACTGGAACTCCCAGCCATTCATTAGTGTTAAAAGAGCTGTAATTAATAAACGCAGCTTAAAGAAAGATTTATAAATTCAGCTGATTAAAGATCATAACGATTTTTATAAATGAAGTTGTACATTTTCATCAATTCTGTTGAAAATCAGTCATAAGGACAAAGTGATGGATTTCTTTGCTATTCAAATAAACACACAAAACACTGTTTACAACATACTTATTAAAACACTGAGCTCTGTACACTGTTTCAGTGGGGTTTATAAACACCAGCAGGGATATGAAAAGAACTGCTGATGTTTCGGTGTTTATAACAGTGTTTATAAATTCAACTGAAAATTAGAGTAATCAGGACAAAGTGTTTTATTTCTAGGCAAAATCTACAGATACCAGATAAATGTCCTGTGATACTTTTATATAAATGAAATTAAAAGTGTAACTGCAAACATAGCTTCAAGCAGGACTTATAAACATCAGCTGGTGATATTAAAACAAAACAAAAATCAGAAATTACATCATGTAATATATAATAGTTTTTTTTATTAATGCAACATATTTCAAGAAACAAATGGAAAACACTGAGCTGCAAACGCTGTTTATGAATTCTGTTGATGATTAAAGCAACAAGAACAAAATTATGCAAGTTATGTAAACAACTTTCCTGTGTCAATTGTTATGACAAAAACAGAGAAAATGTATTATAAATTTGTCTAATTCAGCCTGAAGAACGTCATTGAGAAGAAAATGCTTGTTTTTGTTTTAATTCTGGTTTGTTAAAAAATGTTAAAACCAAATGTCAATAAATTCTAGTCATTAAAGCTGCTTTTATTTATCATAATACAAAATGGGTCTGTATATTTGATCAAATGCTGAAAAAGAGCATTTTATTGAACAGACTTATCTCCTAAAACACAATGTTTCAGTGTTTGGCAAAATGTGTATTTTGGTGGTTAAAATAGTAAAATACGTATTTTAAACAGCTTTTTTGTGAAGGTTAGATCTGATCTACGCTGGAATAAAACAGTTGTTTAAATGTGGTTTAAAGTTGAGCCTGCTGTGTGATTTGTGTCCGCTAGGCGGTGGCATTGAGCTGTTGCCTGAGATGAGTTAGCGCGAAGGAGCTGGAACGGAGAGGGGGGAAAGACCTGATGGAAGAGAGGAAATTTGAAAACAACGTTTAGGATGATTTTGGGATGACAAATAAAAAAAATTAATGAAGAAAATGTTTGATTAAAGGGAGGAAAATACGTTTCTTTATGACTAAAAACAGAAACGGAAGTGATTTTATGATTTCAAGTGCGTTGAAGTATTAATGGGGACTGTAGCAGCTGGAGGAATGGGAGGCATGAGTCAGCTGTTTCTGCAACATACGGACCAAATCAGTTTTATTCTGGAGAATTTATTCAGAGAAAGGGAAATAAAAAGAGGAAGAAGTCTACGAAGGAGCAGAAAACGTCTCCAGTAAACAAACAACAACAACAACAACAAAAAAAAAAAAAAAAAAAAAAACAATCGAGTAGCTGTGTCCCAAAGGAGCGGACTTTCAATCCAGCGGAAAAGCAGAAAACAGCAGACGCGCTCCAGCCTTCGTGCGTAAAGGCGCATCTGCGCCACGCGCAGCTTTTAACGCGCTTACTTCGATTTTTTGCACTAGAATCAGTCACCAATTTTCATTCACCTGCGGATTCTAGTCCTATAAACCCAGATTATGTGGACTCCACTGTGTGCGCAGCGCTGGTTCTGTGCGCAGGTGGTGCGCGCACGTCCCGCACGGACTCAGCAGCACTGCTGGCGCACCGCCAGGTCCAGCACGCTCCCAACCTCCTCTCCTTACGGTGCTTCTACTCACTTTACACCACCCCTTCTTCTGGGAGAAGGCTGGACGGGGGACTACGGGAGCTGAAGGAGGTGGAGCAGAGGTAGAGGAGGAAAGCGAGGGGGGCGACGGGAGCCCTTGGCCGCCTATTCGCCTTCCAGTTGCCTCCGCACTATATAAACACTCATTGGTGCCTCTGGCTGGACGCACACGCACAGTTTGCACACGAATTCGCACGCACACACACTGAGGGTGAAGAGAGAGAGAGAGAGAGAGAGAGAGAGTGAGAGAGAGAGAAAGAGAGAGAGAGAGAACGACAGAAAGTCAGAGCAGCAGCAGGAGGACGGAGCATCTTCTGAGCATCACTGCAGCTTCACGGATCCAAGAACTCCTCCATACCCGGTGCCTGACCCGGTTCTGCTGCTTGACCCGGTTTTGGTGACCCAGAGACACTCTTAAAGACGACTTTTAAACTTTTTAAAAACATTTTTTACTTTTTGGGGAGTTGACACAGACTCGATTATTGGAAGTTTCCCACCAAAACCAAATCTTTCCATCCCTCGAGAAGTTTAACAAACTTTTCTGGGCTCGCTCGGCTTGATTTTTGCTCCACGTGTTCAGATTCTGACAGGAATGAGTCACATTCCGACTTTTTAGCCCCAAACTTTCAAAACAAAGTTTATTTTTAAACCAGGTACCCACAAAGAAATAGTGAAAATGAGCGTTCCCGCATCAGGACCGTGCTCAGTCAGGTGCGATTCCAGATGTTGAAAAAATTAGTGAGGCTTCAGCTCTACACCTGTAGCTTCTCTTCCGCTCTGACTCGCTTCTTGGAGACGCAGAAGCACCTTTTTCTGCCTGTTTACATCTGAGTGAAGAGAATCACTGTTCATTCATTCTTTATCACATCCAGAGCGCGTTGGAACGCGTAAAGAGGCGCTGCGCTTTTTACGCACAGTTTTTTTTATCTATAAAAGAGGAAAACTGCTATCCAGGTTTCGTTTCAAGGTTTTCTGAAGACTTCCAGAGGGCTCACCATGCTGTTCGACAGCTTTGACCTGGTGTCGGCTCTGGCCACGCTGGCCGCCTGCCTGGTGTCCATGGCGCTGCTGCTCGCTGTCTCCCAGCAGCTGTGGCAGCTCAGATGGACCGCCACCCGGGACAAGAACTCCAAACTGCCCATGCCCAAAGGATCCATGGGCTTCCCCTTCATTGGAGAGACCTGCCACTGGCTCCTGCAGGTAAGAGTCCACATTATTCTAAAACTTTAACCAAGTTTTACTCAGAAACCTGAAACTTGCCCTGGGCTCTCTGGGTCGCCGCGCGGTCAGAGGTTGTGAACAGTTTATCTGAGTTTGATTAACATAAACTTTTTTATCTCTTGTCTCTTTAAAATGACTGATTTTATTCAAATTTTGACTGTTCTGTTGCGTCAGGTCAGCATCACATGAGCGGTCTTATCTCAGATGCGTCGGCTCCATCCTCTGATGATGGTATCTGCGCGCCACGCAGAGTTTCACTTCATGTTTTGAGTTGATTGATTTGAAATCTTCAGGTATCAGGTGATCGGTTTCTCTACTCATCACCCGAGTCTACCCCCCAGACCTCTCTGAGGGGTCGACCTGCAGTCAGGCTGATAAGTGCATCGATCCCATCAGAGCTGGTGATGGAGGGCGCCGCTGATGCGTTAGGGTTAAAGTCTTTAGCTGCCATCGCCAAACTTTACTGCTTGTTGCCAGAACGAATCCTGGTCCTGATCCTGACTGACGGACTGAAGCTGTGCAGAAACGTTTAAATAATCCAGACATTTTTAAAGCGCACCGCCTCCGGTCACGAGAAAAGTTATTTATAATCTATAAAATTAATTTAAAAAAGAGAAATAAAGCTTCCCCAAGCACGCTCAGGCGGGAGGACGTTCAACGGGAGGCGCGCGGGGCTTGAACTCGCGGTGTTCCTCTCGGTTCCATCTGACACCGAAAGAGAGAGGGACGGGTTCCCGGAATCCAGGCGAGGCGCTCGGCCAAGTTTACGGCGCGAGGAGGGTGGGAGGAGGGGGCGCGTGTCTGTCAGACTGTCTGGCTTTATGAGGACCAAATGGATGCTGCTCCCAGGCACTATCCAGAAGTCTGTGAGAGACATGTCTCACAGAGACAGGAGGACGAGAGAGAGAGAGAGAGAGAGAGAGAGAGAGACAGGAGGATGAGAGAGAGAGACAGGAGGACGAGAGAGAGAGACAGGAGGACGAGAGAGAGAGAGAGAGAGAGAGAGAGAGAGAGAGAGAGAGAGAGAGAGAGAGAGAGAGAGAGAGAGAGAGAGAGAGAGAGAGAGAGAGACTGATCTCAGGATGGTCCTTCCTCTGTGGAGATCTGGATCCAAACCTCTGAGAGTTTAGCATCAAATCAGAACTTGTGTTTACAAACAGCTGCAACTTTCCTCAATCATAACAAATAATCACACAGGATCAACACTTTCCTTTGTGCATAAAGCTCTTGGTCACATCTGATGTTTATTGTTGTGGTTCAACAAACCAAACTAAGTCTGGAACTGAGCAGAGAGACCAGTCCACCACTTTATAACACAAAGGTTCTGGACAAAATACAGTAAAACTCATCTCAGAATAAAGAATGTGGGTTTAATTAGAGTTCTGTGTATAAGTCATAAATATTCAGGATCTAACTGTCCGAACAGCCTTTGTTAGAAGAAACAGAGTTTATCTCCAACAGGGCTCCGTACAGCTCAAAGATCAGAGCAAAGTAGTGCTGTCAAAAAACTGCTAAAATCTCCCAAATCTCTCAGAAGTTTTAAGTGAATCAATAAGACTTTAGATCTCCATCAGTTTTACACACAAAAAAGAAGACAAACAAAATTCCTGCTGGGCGGGACCCAGCTGCATGCACAGGAAGTGCTACATTTAGGTATTTACACCATCATCTAATGTGACAGCAGTGTAAAGGTTTGTGAAAGTAGGAGGTTGGTCTTTTTAAGGCGTGGTTTGCTCCTCAGTTCTGTTGGATGTAACTGCCAGAAGATCTCAAGAAAGCAAACTCTGACAAATGACAAATTTGATTGCTAACTTTACGACAGAAAGGCATTCTGAAAGTGGCAAAAAGTATCTTCAACTGCAAGAAGACGTCAGCTGTTTTTGATTCCACAGCCAGATGCTGTTGTTCTGTGTCTCTCCACCAGGGGCGCAAAATCCCCACTTTAGTTTATACGCTTCCATAATGAGAACATCAGACTGTTTGGACATTTGAATAACAATTCATGCTGAGATTAAAGGTTGTGTAATGTTTTGAAAATGTGTCACAATAAAGTGTTTCGATTTTACAAGATACACAGAAAATACTAAAGAGATACACAGAAAATACTAAAGAGATACATTCTAAAATCTCTTATGTTTACTTGTATGCTTTTTGTTGTTGGTTTTAGCCACTTGAGGGCAGCAGAACAACAATTAAAACAGCTTTTACACATTTCAGCTAGTTACGCCTTTTTGAATCTTAAAAATATGAGTCTAATATTGCCTGTTTTACTTTGATTTATCTTCACCATCTTGTTCTTGCACTGCATTTTCACTAGTTAGCTGCTAAATGCGTTTGAGTTTTTAAGACTTTTTCTGCCAAAAATAAGACTTAATGGAGTGACAGAAAACCAGAATAGCTCCGCTGTGTATTTAAACGCCGAGCAGAAACTTGCTATGAAGAATTACTGCGCAGTGTTTGTTTATTTCCAAGTGGCAGTTGTAGGAATATGTCCCGAGGTAACGGGGCGTCAGGTTTCTTTAGACACAAATGGAGTGGAGCGAGATTATTTTCTTTTCTCAGCTCACATCCTCTTTTGTTCTCTCGGCTCTGGTCCCGTTGCACCTCATCCAGATCCTCAACGTAAACACCAAGTGTGTAAATGTGTGCCTATATATACGTACAGTATAATTTTACCTACACATACACCACGACGTCTTCAGAGACGGACCCATTTTAAAGTGATCTTGCAGTTAGAAACAGTGTTGTGGTGGCTCTGCCAAGGATCTGTCTGCTCTCATTAAGAGTTGGAGCTTTCTGAGTGGACGGTGCCAAGCGACGAGAGCTGAGCGAGGACACACACAGTGCAAAAAATTGCATAGAGTTCTGTACATAAACCAGCATGTGTATAGGCATAAAGTCACTGAATATAGATGTACACTTGAACCCCATGATGTGCATTAAAAGATTTGGTCTGAATGGGATTCTTTAATATTTAAACATAACACTTTTGACTTTGTTTTAAAAAATCCCCCAGAATCTCAAAATGTATTAGATCTTTTAAGTTCACACTGCATTTTTATTTTCACCAATTCTAATGGCATAATTTCTGATTGCTCATGTTCTCAGAAAGGCTAAAACATGAGCTCAGGCTTTTTGGAATTTTATATATTTTACATTTCATACCCGTTGGATACAAAGAAGACAGTTATTGAACAGGACAGTTAAGGTTTGCAGTCCCTTTAATTAAATGCAAAGTAAAAACTAAAAATCCAATGAATGTATGGAATGTCAAATGGCAAATTTACAATTTTAAGAGTTTTTAAGCAAAATTTCTGCACATTCATAACTTTACACCGCGTTAAGATTCAAACACTGTTTATGAAACTTATCTAAAAAAAATTAAATGTCAGAATGTTGACGATAAATCGTTATGAAAACGTAAAAAGACATCTGCCGTGTGAATCAACCAGAAGCTATAAAGTGTCAAACATCAGATTTTGGGTTTTAAAAGCTTAGTTGAATGATCAGAATCAGAATTTAAAAATAAACCTGAATACTTGGCAATAAACTCAAACAATAAAATGGAGATGATGCAGGACTCCATCAGTCGCTTATCTTTTAATTTTATTTAGTCATTATTACCAGGATATTTCCTTTAAGTGGGTCAAACTGAGAGGTGATTGTGAGGCCCGGTGGCTACTAATGCGGTCCGGTCCAGTGTGTGCTGCATAGCTGCGGTTACACACACTCAAACACACAACCCAGGAATGGAAAGAGTTTGAGTCATTTAAGCGTGCATGGTGCAGAGTATGATGATGCTGAAGTGGTCCTGGTTTCAGAGTGAGAGCCGGAGTTTTCTTGTAGAGAGACATCTTTGGCTCACTTATCCTAAAAACATCAGAGGAATCGTCTTCGCAGAATTCGGTAATCATCAAACTAATCACCATTTATTAACAGTTTCATTTCAACACATTAAAAAAATGGGGTTTTGAATGTTAAACTTCATATTCTATCATTTTAAATCCCATTTTGTGTTCTCTTTTGTCCTATGCTTGTCACAATAGCTTTGACTTTAATAAATCTTTTCATTGTTCAATAGAATATCTTAATTACAGTCAGATTACAAAATACCTTCAAAGTTTCCCTAGAAGCCATTTTTATGATTTTTCTACTTTCACTTCCTCTCTTTTGCCAATTTTAACCCATCAGTTTTCTACGTTCATCTTTTTCGTTAATCTTATATGTACATAAGCCTTATCCCCAAAAGAAAAAAATGAATGAAAGTAATAAACAATCACACTATTTGAATTTCTAAAAAAAAAAAAAGTACTATTATTTTCTCATCTCCTTCCATGCATTCTCTTTACCTCCTCTTCCTCTTGAAGATTAGCAGGAGGTGCTGGCAGCGCTCTCCCTGCCCCTTCCTTCACCCCGAGAACACACTGCTCCCTCCTTCAACACTCTTGTCCTGGGTCGAGTATAGAGCCTAGTGTTAATCTCCTCTCCTCAGTGAGTCTGTATGTGTGTGTGAAAGAAAATGTTTTATTGGTTACAAACTTTGTGTGGAAAAGCTTAACGGATAAAGCAGGTGTCAGTCTTTTTGTTGAAAAAACCATCGTGCGACACACGAACAGATCCAAAACAGTTTGGTGGAATTTTTGCTACACTTCATGATTTCACCCGTTTGTTTGGCAAAGATTTCATCATTTAAATTTATCATTCAATTGCTAATAAATCAAAGAGAAAGAGGCATTAGGACGAGATCTGGTTCGTTGTTCTTCGGTGCAAAGCTCAAATCCCGGACGAGCCCCCAAAACTGCAAAAGTCCATGTATCAAAAAATAACGCAAGAGAAAGTTTAAATGTCTACCACTGTGTTACTTTGAGTCACTAACGTTCAAGATGGCTGCCACAACATTAGCAAACACAAAAAGGGCTACAACAAGAACAGTTTCACAAATATTTAGCAAAAGCGTTCTCAGTATACAATGATCTTGG